TGAGCTTAGCGTAGTAACAAATCAGTGTCCGTGTTTTCCCTTCAGAGAAGTGTAAATGTTGTTAATCAGAAAAGCACACGCTGTGTTTTCCCGAGAGTTGTTTTCATTTGATAACAGGCCCAGTGTTGGGACATGGTGCGAAGGCTGCGTTCTTCCTTCATTCCCAGCCTCTTGGAGTGTGGCCTTATTTCTTGCCTGCAGATCACTAGTGCTTAGGAGGACACCTCCCTTCCTTGCTTTCTTTTCCCCTTCTCAACCTCATCTGAAGTGCTCCGACTCTGGTTTTGTTGTTCGGATCCAAGCAGAATATCAGTGATCCTTGCCATAGCTCAGGAGTGCTGCTCACCCCATCGCAAGCACTTTTCTAGTGAAACAGATTAACTGCTAGGGTGTATGGTTATTTTCTGCTTTTGACATCTGCATGTAGGCACTTCAGGTTTTTTTTAACACTTTACTGGAAATTGGACTCCTGTGTCCCCTCCCGACAGATGGATCAGTCTTGCCTTTTGTTGTGGAGGTTGTGATTGATCATAAGCAAGGCTCAGTATTTGGTGCAAGTATGCGTTTAAGCGAGAGAGTCCTCTTATATTTATGATTCAGTCAATTTAATCGCAGCTCTTCAATTTATAGTTGCCTAAAATCTTTCAAGTGGCGTTGCAGATGGTTGGGAGCTCTGTACCCGTGGGCTGCTCTGTAACGTGTCAAATCTGGGTTCTTAAATCACTGTCTGTGATTCAGTGGATCATACATTAGAAACCACTGGCCTGCTGGGCTGAAGTGACTTTTGCGGGAGTGTTCTCGGGCTCTCAGCCGTTACCAGTCTGGAAACTGGTTAGTCTTTTCTTTGGAAGTGGGATTGAGGCAGTCTGCTCCTCTCTTGAGAACAAAAGCACAATCAGCTGCTGGGCTGCTGCTGTCACTGCACACGAGAGCAGTTTCTGTTAAATGTGACTGATGTTGAAATAAACCACACCTCGGCTCTCAAGTAAGAGTGACCTTTGGCAAGTCTGCATCAACATAAATAAGGTGTGATTTTAGTTATTCTAAGTTGAGTTTCCTTGGAGACAGGCCCTTAGGAACTTCTGCCAGTTCGTGTGATGTTTGCTGGTTTAACTTAAACAAAACTCAGAAAATTTCTCTCTTCTCCACAAAAGCATGAAATGTCACAGAAGTGCGATCTGTGTAACAGTTTGCCGTGTTCCTGGTGTGCTCTTTAAAGAGATGCTGAGAGATCGTATCAAGACCGTGGGTCAGATTTTTGCATATTGTTTTGACGTCTTTTGCAAAGGGTCATCTTGAACACAGCTGAAACTTCCTTGGAAGCAGAGAAGTTTTGGCATAAATTGGTTCTTTTGGTGACCTCTTCCTGCTTTTATGTAGGAGAATATCATGTTGCTGGAATAACATTTCTGCTCCCCTGTGATGACCCTGGTCTGGCTTGGGACCCCTGAGTGGCTGTAGTCAGCTGTTGTAAAATACAGCAGCCCAAAGGCTGTGCTGACTTACATCAGGGTCAGATGCAGGGCAAATTGAATTTTTGGGAGACAGCCGGTTCCCAGAAATAAACCCTTTTTTAAATGACCTGTGATTCACTTAAAATCAGATGCCAGATAAAATCTACCCTAGCTTTTTGTCTGGATTAGCTTTTTGGGGTAGAAGCCTTTCTGCCCTTGGAAGGGGGCTAGAGGGATTGTTCCGCCTTTAACATCTGTTAATCTTTAGTTGAGTCTCTATGACATGCGGTAAAAAGCTAAAGCAAACACTTTTTTTTTTTTTTTGTTAATGTTCCCTCACATCCTGTTAGGAACAGTGATGTCAACAATTTTGGGTAGCAGAGGGACTGGGGAAGACCTTGCATCTGTGCTGTGCAGGCAGGACCCCTGTGTGTTGTCTTTGAGTCCAGCAGGATGAAACATATTTATATAAATGCCCATGGATGGGGAAAGGGGATTTCTACCCGTGCTGTGAGCAGGGATGGTCTTCCCCCTCTGCTTTGTAAGGAAGGTGCAGTGAGCCCTCTAGAAGCCCCAGCCCAGGTGTGGAGCTGTCCTGGTTTCAGCTGAGAGGATTGATTTTCTTCATAGTAGCTAGTGTGGGGATATGTTTTGCATTTGTGCTGGAGACAGCATTGATAATATAGAGATGTTTTTGTTCTATGGACCTATTGTTGAGCAGTGTTTACGCGGGGCCAAGGCCTTTTCTGCTTCTTGCACTGCCCTGCCAGCGGGATGGCTGGGGGTGCACAAGAAGTTGGGAGGAGACACAGACAGGACAGGTGACCCAAACTGACCAAAGGGATATTCCATACTATATGACGTCATGCTCAGTTTATAAGGAGCTTGGGGGAAGAGAGGGGGGGCGGCGGCATTTGGAGCGATGGCGTTTGTCTTCCCAAGTAACCGTTACACGTGATGGAGCCCTGCTTTCCTGGAGATGGCTGAACACCTGCCTGCCCATGGGAAGTGGGGAATGAATTCCTTGCTTTGCTTTGATTGTGTGCGCGGCTTTTGCTTTACCTGTTAAACTGTCTTTATTTCAACCCATGAGTTTTCTTCCTTCACCTTTTCCAATTCTCTTCCCCCACCCTGATGGGGGGGAGTGAATGAGCGGCTGCGTGGTGCTCAGCTGCCGGCTGGGGTAAAACCACGACAGGAGCCCGCACTGCTGGATGTTTGTGGGGATGGACCCTGGGCACGCAGGGCGGTGGAAGGAGACCCTCTCTCATCCTCCCAAAGGGTGTGAGGGACTGTGTGGCAGGTCAGGTACAACCCAAGCTTGTGTAGCATCAGCTGCTGCAGGTTGTGTAGCATCAGCTGCTGCCGTACTCAAGACTGCTGCTGGACACATTTCCATACTGAGGGCCATGTGCTGAGGTGCAGGTCCTGGGCAGCATCCCTCAACCATCCTTACCTGGACTGTTCTTACCTCATGCTGCATATACCTGCCACAGCCACTTGGGTGATTGCAAGTTGGACTGAGGGGCTGCATCTAATGTGAATAGTAATAGCATCAGCTGCTGCCGTACTCAAGACTGCTGCTGGACACATTTCCATACTGAGGGCCATGTGCTGAGGTGCAGGTCCTGGGCAGCATCCCTCAACCATCCTTACCTGGACTGTTCTTACCTCATGCTGCATATACCTGCCACAGCCACTTGGGTGATTGCAAGTTGGACTGAGGGGCTGCATCTAATGTGAATAGTAACAGAGAAGCAGCAGCTTTGCACTACAAATGCATCAGACCTGCCCTACCTTGAGGTCAGACACCAAGTGTGGGGATTTCTCTGTGTCGCTTCCTGCATTTAGGACTCAGCGTAGCAGGAGATACAAGCGGGGTGTCCCCAACCATATTGTCTCTGCCTGTCACACCAGTTGTTTGTTTCTTTGGGGACCAATTGATGTCCAAGCGGCACCAGTTGAGCAGCAAAGCATCAAGTGCTGCCTCGCTCTTTAGCTGAGACTTGTGAGCTGACACCTTGTAAATTCAGCAGAGTATGAATAACTGTATTAGTGAGTCAGCTGGAGGCTTGGAGTCACCTGCCCATCTTCTCACCACCTCTGCTTGCAGTGGCACGTTGTGAATGGCATGAGGGATATCGCAAGGTGGAAGGGCAGTCTGCTGTCCAGTAGGTGCTTGCTTCATATTGGTACTTCAGGGTCATTCTGGAGGACAGGTCTTCTGGGCTGACAGTATGCTCTGCAGGGGCAGGAGGTGCCATTTATCAGCTCTTGGGATATTACCAATGTGCTTGACACTGGCAGGGGCAGAAGAAAATTCTGCAAATGGTAGCAGTTTGTCTGGAAAAAGCCTCTGTGTTTTAACCAAGGAATTCCCCTGCAACAATCTTTGCCTCTACATGCTCGCAAGGAAGTAGGTAATGGCTTGCTGACAGCAGTGCTGTGGAAATCAGTGTGTTTATACTTGGGAAAAGGGAAGGACTTTTCACCAGGAGCTTGTTGGTCGATGCCTAGGCAGAGGAAGATTAGCTGACTTGGAGCACGGCTCATCTCCCTGTTCTGGTCGGATGTGCCATGCTTTCCTGGCCTGAGATACCAGGGAGATCTTGGTGTCACATGTGCGTGCCGACGGAGTGACTGTTTTCAGGGACTGGTTGAGGTCAACTGCAGCAAGAATTCAAGTTGCAAGAGGCAGTAGGTCTAAAGACAGATGGTCTGGTGTCTTTATAATGCTTTGTAACACTTATGTAATATTTCAAAATTATTCAGAGATTTTGTTCTAACGCTTTTTCCCCAGAAGTCTGACACTATTCTTGCTAAGTGTCATACTCTGTTTTGAAGATAAGGTGCATTTGGTACTTGTGCATTGTGGCAAAGCCAGTGGCACCAAATCACTGTCTGGTTCAGTGTCCTCAAACCTAGCTTTAAATTTGAATTTTCCTAGAGTTGTTTTCTTTCTCATACCAAGTTTATTAATCTCCCTCCAACTTGGAAAACTTCCTAGAATTTAAATCAACTCCGGGACATAATCCTGGGAACGGTATACATTGTTGTGAATAAGTTTGGTTTGTAACTAAAGAAAATTATTTTTTTTCTCTTTGAAAAATAGGAAGAAATCATCCCAAGTAGGAGTGTCACTAGTGAACAACTTCAGCTGTTGATAAATGGAGCTCTTCTAGTTTGCCCTGGCTGAGATCCTGCCCCCCAGGCTTTCAGTTTGACTGGTTTTGTTTTCAGTGTCTATTGATATAATTTATTGAAATTATGGCATAGTCTTGACAGCCTTCAGTGATTTTTTTTTTTTCTTTAGTCTCCATGCAAATAGTGTGTTGTCTTCAGTGACCTGTTTAAACAATCATGGAAGCGTTTTCTGTTTATTCTGTGGTTATTTATAGTAGTAAATAATATTTAATTCTTCCTGCTCTTCCCCTCTCTCCTCTCTACCCCATATCAAGTTAGTTTAATGTATGTCTAAATGCTGTTTTGATTAACAGTGTCTCTTACGCCTGACCAGTCTCACATTCATTGTGCTTTCATTGCCAGTCCCGCAGTGTCGATAAGCAGCACGCTGTAATCAACTATGACAAGGAGAAAGATGAGCACTGGGTGAAGGATCTCGGGAGCTTAAATGGCGTAAGTAGCAAACCTCCCAGCTGATGGAGGCGAACACGCGGCGTGCTGAGTCTGCAAGTGCTTGTGCACTTACTTAATTATACTGTTAGACCCTTTTGGGTCACTGCAGCTGTTGGCATGAGTTAAGCTAAACATACATAATTATTTGTAAGGCCTGAGATGGAGGTTGTGTGGCATCTCATCTTAGAAGAGGAAAGCTTTGGTGAATATTGTATTTCTTTTTCCCTTTCTTCTGGTGTCCTTGCAGAATGCTTCAGGGCTCACAAAATCACAGAGCCTCTTGCAAAAGAAGAGGAAATAAATTCAGTGTCGTTTTGGGGATGTTAACATTAAAGTGGTGAAGATTCTGGAGCAGCTGTTCAGCATGAGCAGGGTGACCTTTTGGCAATTCAGTTGTCAGTGCATGGAGTGATTTATGGGATGATGAGACATGTAATTTCTTTGGGGAATAACTACTTAAAAACACCACTTTTTTAATTTATAATAAAGATTGCTCTTTTGCCTGCCTTGAGCCTGGTTTGTGTGAAGACTGAGGGATAATGTTAGCCCAGAACAGGGAGCTGAGCCTGCCTGATCCTTAACCCTTGCTTTGGTCCCAATTCACGCAGTGGTGTTAGGCAGCTCCATGAGGGCTTTGCCTGCCCACCTGAATTCTGTGATTTTTAAATACACCATCATACTTAAAACTGCCTGGATGTCATGGCATGCTCTTTTTTTGGCTGTTTCTTCGTACCAGCTCTTCCTCTGCTGGAGCAGGTCTAAGCTAGATTCACATAATTGTCTTCCCAGTAGGGGTTTTACTGCATTCATTGTTTTGGGCTTAGAAACAGAAGCCCTCTATCACTGGAACCACAAAACCACAAGATGAACCCAGAAACTTGTACAAAACCAGTGGCTAAAGCAGGCCTGAACTGTTCTGCCTTTTCTGGCATCTGAAAACAGCAAGAATGAGTGCTAATTCTTCTCAACTGAATAGCTGAAGGCACAGAGCCCTGCTGAAATGAGAATTTCCAGTAACTGGTCTGGGCTTTAGCTGTATCCCTGGTTCAAAACCTGTGGTATTTAACTCATTGTGGCAAAATAACAGGTGAAAATTCTGCTTGCAAGAGATGGAAGGCTTATACCATTAATTCTCCTCTATCTTCACATGCTAAAGCATATGAATTGACATTTTAATAAGACTTGCGCTCAGAGAGGCAGTGGAGTAGAATGAGTTACAGCAGTGCATGTCTTCTGCAGCTGGTCAAACACACTTCTGCTGGAGAAGACTGTTGTGGCCAAACTGAAATTATTTTGCATGAAAGAAACATAGGTCCTTATTTGAAAATTTTCATGCAAACTTGTTTCCCCCTCGCCCGAAACTAAAGAAATCACTTTTGAGAACCTTGATTTTAATTCCGTTTTCAGAATTTGCTTTTATTTTGTATTTACTTTATGGCTCGTCAACAATGCATTATATGGCTTTGCTGGATAATCTGGCTTGTATTAATTGTCTAAATGTTTTGTATTGTTTTTATTATAATGTTCAGCTGATTCTGCAGTCTCTATTAAGGGTCTTTTGGTTTTGGAGGTAGTATTTCTATCTGCAATAAGCAGTTTGCTTGGGTTATTTTATTTGAAGTAACCGTGGATGAAGAGGTAACATCAAAATGGGTTTTCTTGCAGACTTCTGTTTTGCAGAAAATTCAGGAAATAATTATTCCTGTTCCAGATCTGACTGTTGTGGGCTTTTTAAATATTAAAAAAATTCATGCAAATAGGAATTCCGTGCCTTTTAACCAGCTTCACTGCTTTTATTCTGAAATTACAGGCCTGTTCCCCAGCTCCTCTGTAAGTTGCCAGGAAGCTGGAGGCTGTTGTCTGCTGAGGTTCTAGTTTCCTACTCTAGCATTTATTTTTCCTCTGTGGTTAATACTTGGTCTTATCATGCATGTTTGGCTTGGCTGAGGTGAGAAGACAGAAGATGACTGTGCATCTGGTGAACGCATGTCAGTTCATTTTCTAGTATAATTTTGATTCATCAGAGCGTAGCTGCATTCATACTGAGGCTACAAATACTCAGCAGCGAGTTCCTGGTCTGTGGGGCTGGGTGAATCCCACCTTGCAAGGTAGGGTAACTCCTGCTGTCTGTGACTGCCCTGGCTGCAACTAATCCCCATCAGCACACTGGTGCTTCTTCAACTGAGTTCCTGATTGATTTTTCTTTGGCCTGGGTTATTACAAAAGTATATGGGTTTATTTGTGAAAGATGTCCATGAGTGCTTGATTGTTCCTCCGTTGGTTCTGCGAGAATTGCTCCCTAGGGGATCTCCTTGGAAAGCAGGCATCTGAGACATCCGAGGCATTTGTTCACAGCTACGAAGTACATTTCTTGCACCTTTATAAGGATGACTTAGTTTCTTTGGGCCTCAACTGCCTGGAGCATAGAAAAAAATGAGTATGTGCATCTTTTGTGTGTGGGCCCTGTTGTACTGTTATATGGTGTCTTGGACAATGTGGCCTCAGACATCATGCAAATGCTTGTTTTCCTGTGCATTTTCATTTTCCCCCTTCCTCTGTGATAGGCTTTGCTTGTTAAATTATCAGGCCTTGGGGCTGACACCAGTCTTGTTTGACATCCAGCGGAAAGCTGATTCCCAGCTCAGTAATTAGTGTGTGAGTTGTAGCATTTGCTGCTCTTGCTGGTTGTGAAGGGTGGAGGAGAACAGGGAGCATCTGAAGTCCCTAAGTTATTTATGCACCTCATTTATGTGCACGTTGGGGACTAAAATTTCATTCGTAGTTGGTGGAAAGGTAGACCTCCCTAGAGGTCCCTTCAGAGCACCTTGCTTTGAAGCATAATTGGGGTGCTCCAACTTGCTCATTGGAGCTACTTGCCAGTGTTGATTTTTCTAGGGAACTTAGGTCTTCACCTGGCTGACTTTGTGCTAATGCACCCTGAATGTGCGCAGTGCTATTGGCAGATGGGCACGGGTGTCCTCCAGGAGCCCTATCCATCTGAGATGCATCACCTCTATACCCTCAGTCAAAAACCATTCCTGTGCTTCTTTCCTGCAGACATTCGTCAATGACGTGAGGATTCCTGACCAGAAGTACATCACCCTAAAACTGAATGATGTCATTCGCTTCGGCTATGATATCCTTCTCATCTGAAGAAAGAGTAGGATGTGGTCTTTGGGTTTTGTACTGTTTGCTGCATGGACAGTTAACAGTGCTAATTGTTGCTAATGAGTAGAGGTGTTTGTTTTGTCTCCTGGAGCCTTTGGATGGCTCATAAGCTTTTGTTTCTCCATCATGGACCTGATTCAGAGCGTATTAATCATGACGCCTGCTACCTTCATTGGACTTTGAATCAGGCCTTGCATTGGCAATAGTGGCTGTGGAGATGTTTCTTCAGTCTCTTTCTAAGGAAGGGTTGCGCTTTTTCTTTTTATTTGGGTGGCAACTGTAGCTGGTACCAGCTGGGGAGCAAACATATTTCGTATACTTTTGTATGAACTAATATCTTTGATTTTTTTTATCCAACTTGGTTTTTGTTCATCATTTCACCCAAATACTTGCTTCTGGATAATTTGCAGATCTTCAGGCTTAAACATTTAGCTTTGGGGCTTGTGGTCAGCCCTGTGACTGTATCGATTGAAGCTTGCCTGTGCAAATTGCTTCTGCCACAAAACACAAGAGTAAATCTCTCTTTAGCAATAGCAAATTTCACCTCGATTAAGGGAGGCTAGGCTGCAGTTGCTGCTTTGTTTACAGAGTCACAGATCCTGCTACTGTCTGCTGAAACACCTTTGCCTTCATCTGTTTCCTTTTTTATCCTGATGTGACTGTATGCCTGGCTATAAGTGTAGCGTTTCTGAGCCTGTAGATCAACAGTGGTAAGTAGAGGCTCCTATTGCTGCCTTTTCGTGTAATCTAATCCTTTTTTTCACTTTTTTCAGCTGCTTCTATCTGCCAAACTTAACCACTCAGGCTGAATTTAGAAGTAGCAACTGTCTTCTCCATCTTTCTTTTTTGTGGAAATTTAAGTTAAAACAGTCCAGACATTTCTGAGAATAGAGGCAGAGACTAAGTTTTACCATTGGGGGGAAGGAGGTGTTTGGCTGGCTCTTGTGCATCCTTGACCCCAAGGCCACGTTCTTATGCCTTTTGTTGTCCCCATGATAATCAGTTTGTGCTTGGCCATGCTGTAGCCCTTGAAATACTCCTTGCTGGAGCCCAGAGAGCTGAGGCAGCGAGGAGAGGCCAAGCCTCCCTGGTCTTCCAGCGATCTGGGTACCTTGACTGTAAGCAGTGCTGGTGCAGGAGCACTCACTGTTGCAACAGGATGCTTAAACTGATGTGCATACAGTTCTGGATCTGCTGGAAGAGAGGGTTTTCTAGGCCTTGTGTCTTGGTCTTGGTCTCACTCAGTCTCTTGCCATTTTAGAAACAAAAAATCCTTGCTTCACAGTAGTTGTTTGGTGGTTTGGTTTTTCTGTTGGTTTGTTTGTTGTTTTTTTTTTAAAGGGAGGTAGTTGCTGAATCTTTTGGGGAAAAAAAAAAAAAAAGAAAAAAGATTATTTGCCTTCAGATCTGCAGTTTGATGAAGGTTCAGGCATACATAGGGGGTGCAATACCGAGTAGCCCCTTACTGAGCACTGTCACCTGGGATCATGTCATTACAAGTGGCCTTTCAGTGCACACGTGGTGATGCTGTTACAGTCCCATAGGCAAACTTAGTTCTAGCTTTTTGTGACTTTGCAAATGTTCTTTTGATGTAGCTGGTCATGTGCCTTCTGCTCTCTAGATGTTTGGGGAAAGGTATAAGTTAGTGCCTAAAGCCTGGGTAGGTTTTTAATGGCTGCGATACAGGTTTGAACAACTTATGGAAAGCAATTCTGAGCACTAAGCAGCTGTGTTGAAGTGTTTAGTCCTGCAGTCCTTACATGGATATTCATGTGAAATGAATGACTGCATTTACGAATTGTAGAATTTATTGCCCTCAACAGAAAAACTTTAGAGAATGTAGGTTTTAGACTCTTATCTTTACTTCAGCATGGTTGGTACAGCAGTTACAATCTCTTCCTCTCCTTTGCTGCTTTGGTGCCACTCTCTTTAGAAGTGCTTTCTGTGCACACCGCGTTCAGCTTGGTGTGGATGGCAGCATCTCCTGAGGTCTCTGAGTCAGCTGTGTGCTGTTGCATAAGAGCGTTTGTCTCTTTTCCATTTACAGTTTCACTTACAGACTGTGCGGAGTTTCCCTGCTATGCCAGTATCACTTGGTTTATTTTTAGTCTAACATTTTCCATCTTTCCTTTTTCCTCCCCTTTGCTCTGTGCTGTGCTGATTGGGTTGTTAGTGATGACATTGCCAGATGCTTTTTTTTTTTTAAAAAAAAAAAAGCCCACAGTGTTGCTGAGGATTATTGCCTAGGCTCAACCATGTTGAACGCTTCCCTTCCTAAGAGGTCACAGCAGCTCGTGACCTGATTTACTTTTCATCCAGAAAACTGCAGTGGCTGAAAGGCCTTGTCAAGGCAAGAGAGCACTGTAGTCCCAGACATCCCTGCAGGGAGCTGAACTCTATTGTTCCCTTCTCCAGAGTACACAAAATTGCCCCATCTTGGCCAGGGTACCACGGGCAGAGTGGTCTGCCTGGAGCTGCCAGCGGGATGTGAGTTGAATCAGGTCTCTGGTTGCTCCCCTGGGTCCTGCACAGAGCTACTAGTGCTCCCCAAGCTTCTCCTACCCTGCTCCCCTTGTCTGCTGCCCTTCAGTTGTCATGGGTCTGGCCAGCAGATGGGATTGCTCTCTTGCAAAACAAGCACAACAAAGGCCATGGTGGGCTACAGCGCAGGCAACTTCTAGTACCCTGTGTATTTTAAGCTTCTCTGGTTTTATGATCTTGTTTTCTTTCTGTGACTAAATGCTAGATTTCTCTGTCCATCCAATTCCTTTGCCATTTCCTTAACAAGTTCTGTACATTCGAACATGTACGTCCTGGAACAAATTCAACACAAAGTCCCAGAAGAAGCATTAAAGGTAAGAGTGTCTGGGTGCAGGTGCATTTTTAAAATGGTCGAGCAGCCTGAAATATTAAAATACTCTTGATGGCAGTAAAATATTCCACAATGTGAGGCTCTCCTTGCATTGGGACTTAACAAAACCTTCCTTTGAGGAGAGATACATTTCCCAGTTACCTCTGCTCTGATCTCTCTTATCCCTGTGCTAACATGTATATGAAGTTATTTATGATTTCATGACTGCCAACAAAAAAGGTTACTAAAGCTGTAACATATTAAAGAACAGTCAGCACATTAACTTGTGGGTGAAGCACAGCAGAACTTGGTCCTTCCCAGAAGTGGAGCGCAGATGACTTTTTCTGACCATGGTGACTTAGGGCAGCTCCATTACACTTCCTCCAGCGGGCTGAAGTTTGCTTAATTTATTCCTGTATATCATCTCATTTTTGCCTTCAAGCTCCAAATTTTTACTTGCTGAGTGAGGAGTTTTTTAAACAAAGAGTTCAGTAGCAGGTACAAAATATTCAGGCATTTTCTTATCTAAGGCAGAAAAGCAGCCCCCTCTGGGCAAGAAAGCTGTCATGTTCAGCTGAAGGACTGGGCTATCAGTGCCAAGCATCACCTCTTGGCTAGCAGATACTGTCTTCTTAGCCTTGGTTTCATGTTTAGGACTTGGAGAGGATTGAAAATATAACAGCTAGAATTGGGCAAATGATATATTGAACTTACTCAGGGCAATCTGGATGGGTATACCCTTTTATTAATTTACTTGTAATAAACCCACTTTTAAATAGCTCATTTATTATGTTAATACGGAGCCTGTTTTAAGGCAGAATCACTTTCATAGCTGGAGACAGGGTTTGGAGAGAAATAATTAAAATATCTTTTAATTACCTTTGCCAAAAAGCTGAGATAATGCAGATGAGTGCCCTGAAATAATTTATAATATTGCTTTAAGAACAAAGGGGATTTCAGGATTTGAATTCCTAGTGGAAAATGGCCTAAGTTCTGATTCTTCTCAGTTTATTCTTTAAAGGGTTTCCCAATTAGCTGTTTTGCAGAGCTCAATCACAATGACCTTCTCATGGTCTAGAATTGTCACTTAATGTCTTCCAAGTGGGGTATTTGAAAGCCTCTCAGCTGGCATTTCTGCTGTTCTGTAGCCTCTACTCAGGTGTGCTTTCTTCTTGTTGCAGAACATAGCTGCCTCTGTGTGATCCATTTGCAGGGAAGGGTGGTTTTTCTTTTCTGTGGGCTCGCACACAGATTGCAGGGGCATCCCACAACTGTTGCTTGTGTCTCTGCAGCATGAGAAGTACACCAGCCAACTTCAAATGAATTACAAAGGCACGACAATGAAGAGGGCAGAGCAGCCCATGGAGCACAGTGTCTATGCTGAGTCCCCACAAGCAAAACTGGAGAAAGGAGAGAGGAAAGCAATTACAGGTACTTGCTCTGGAACCAGTTAATCAAGATTCAGAACAAAGTGCAACTCAAGCTTGCGCTGGGTCACGATTCTGACAGCAGTGTTGTGGGTTGTATCTAGGAGCAGTTCCAGAAAGGTCATCTTTTTAAACCTCCAAGTATTCCAGACACTCAGTTTTTGGAGATTCAGCCTCCAAAAACAGTCAGGTGGTGTGATGGCTCACACATGCCTTGTCGCTGTGTGTGTGCTGGAGAACCCGTAGGCCGAGCAGGTTTGGTAAGTTCTTTGGCACCTGTCTGGTCTATTTTTAATTTCCTAATCATTAGCTGGTGTTTGAACAGAGACGGTGACTCAGAGTAGAAAATGCATGGCTGCTGTGGCGTGGTGTGGTGCTGGCAGGCAGACAGGCAAAGAAGCAACAAGCCATTTCTTTCAAAAAGCCCTGTATGGTTTTAAATGGCTGTACTTCCTAATGTGCCAGTATGTGGGATTGAAACTGGCTGCCAAACTGGGAGACGTTTGCTTCAGATGCTGTTCCTCAGCTGCAAATCTCTTCCATTTGAAAAATTACTTCTGTTCCCCATTTCTTTACCCACTGCTTCCTTCCTTTAAAGACCCTTTGTCAAACTTGCTTCCTCCCTGTTTCCCATCATGGTGGGCCAAGACCTCCACAGCAGTCTTGTCTCACCCATCTCACCCAACTTCCTACCTCCTTACGTACTGCCCTGGCAGGTCTCTCCCCAGTTCTGCTCAGGTATCAGTTGGTGGCCTTCTAGAGCCTGATGGTGGGAAGAACAAATATGGTTTTAAAGCATGCCAGTGATGGATGACTGCCAGTGGTGGTCTTGTGGCACCAGGGTGGCAGAACGATTGGAAAGCTTTAGGGTTGGCAGAGAGACTGCCCAGTGGGTCTGTTGGAGGAAGGAGCAGGGGGGTGAATGGAGGGAAGAGGATGGGAAAGTAGAAGAGTGAGACAGCATCTTGGGTGAGGTGACCTAGAGATAGATACAGCAGCTTTCTAGAAGTATGTACAACTTTGATCTGATAAGGCTTCATGATAACTAATCAGAGTGGGTTGGTTGACCTTAATCTTCCATGTATTGTCTTTATGAAAATTCCTCTAAGCTGATGCAGCGTACTGAACCAGTGTAATTTTTCTCCCTGGTCTTGTTGCCTCCAGCTGTGTGTGGAAGCACATGCACATGCGCTCGCGTACCTGACTCCCATTTTCCGCACCGCAGAACCTTTCTTTGTGTTGCTTTAGCTGTGTCTGCGTGTCACTCTCCCCTATGGATGTGGCATTCGTGACTTTGCCTCACAAGCGTGCAGTTAAGGGGATGAAGTTGGCTATGATTAACCGTGACACCGCAGAGGGTGAGAAGAGGTGAACCTTGCTATGAGGGGACCTCTGCGGCAGCCTGGCAAGGGGTATGGGGTTTTTCAAAAGCACTGCCAGTAACTGGACTGGTTTGCCAGTAACTGGAACCAGTTTGCATTTGCTGCTGCTTGATTGCATGAACATTCTCGTCTTTATTCTTGCCACCTTCCAAAATACGCTCTGGTCGGTTTTAACCTACGTAGTGTAAGCGATTGATATTTGGAACATCTTCAAAGTCAGAACATTGAGTGACTCTTAAGCAAGGTGACCCATTTCTCTAGCCTGTGGTTCACAGACCTGCATTATGTTTCTGTCATTGTTAGCAGGCACAGACCATAGCTCTAAGGCAAAAAGGGCTGTGAGTACTTATTGGGGATGCAGTGGGACTGAGACACAGATACGAGAAAAAAAGATCTGTGAAGTGCTGCTAACCTCACTGAAAGATGGAGGAATTTGGGATGTTTTGTTGGACATGTTTTACTGGGTTGGACTGAAGCCTGCAGAAGCAAGGGAGGGAGTCTGAGCATTAAACTAGTGCCTTGCTCTCAAGAAAGCATCTCTGTCACGTGAGCAGAATGGTCAGTGGGTCCCTTTTTCATCTGTGATGCGACTAATTCACCTTGTCTTCAGCTGCACACATGCACAGTTTCTCCTTGGTTGCTCGGAGGAGTGGCAGCAATTTAAAATGATTAGTGGAAAGGAGAATGTAGTATTCTTACCGGGAGTGGGCTTGCTTAGTGGCAGCAGAATGAGGCTTTGGGGAGAGAGCTGTTTTGCTAAGCCCGTAGGTATTTAGGAATTTGCATTGACTAATTAAAACAAGGTCTCGGGTGACAAAAGCCTTTAGAAGGATTGCTTCCCAGGGCCCGGGTGGAAAAGAGGGAGAGGGAATGCAAGCTTTCAGGGAAGAGGTTTAACAAAACAATGTGAACAATTAGAGCTGCTTAGAAATGGGAGGAGGTGAGGGGCTGAGGATAAAGAGATCCAGGGGAGTGAATGGGAAACAGCTCAGCCATTTAGTCTTTATGCTGTTGAACTTGCAGCTTTTGGGTGTTTGTTGCCTGTAAGCAGAAAATCATCAGTCTTTGTGAAGTGTTTGAGGCAGGAGCTTGGTAAGCCCTGTGGGTTGGATATGGATATGAATAAGAAACGTGCCCACAGTTCAGCTAGTTAATGCTAAAAATAGCCATCAGCTCTCATGTTTAAAACCTTAAGTGATCAGGAGGCCAGGTACAGCCTTGAACTGAGCAGATTTTAAGACTGTCACAATCCCCATCTGTTGCTACCTGAGTTGAGGTACTAGATGAGATAAGCTACTTTGTGGTCTTCTGTTCTCAACACATAGTTAATCCTCAGGCTGATCTTTATTTTTTTTTTTTTTAAAGCCCTCACAGGCTGATGGCACTAGATCATGCCAAATCTGATGACTAACCTGAATAACTGCTGCAGGCCTGAGTTTCCAGGGGTGGAGGCTGCCTGCAGCATCCAGCTGAAATGGGCATCACTGGCTGCAGGAGCAGGACTTGAGCTTCTCCCTGGATCTGTGAAATAGGCTCACTTGCCAGGTTAGCGTCTGTGTCATCAGGGAGGCCTCTCAAAAGAGTGGCCAACTTGAAAGTCTTCTTGGTGTCTGGGGCTGAGGTCAGCAGGCAGTGTGGAAGGATGCAGTGGGAGTTGTGCCCAGTTGTGGAGTGGTTTCCATGGTCTTTGGCTGCTTTCCCCATGAGATCATCATAATAGCTATTTAGATGCACAGTTCTACCCTAGCCTTTAATTTAAGGGAGTGGTGGTGGTGTATCTGCTTTTCATCTGAGCTAGGGTGATGGTACCTGCAGCACGTTGAAGGTTTGACCCTGCAATTGATACAAATAAATTTGTGATTATCAGCCTGATTGGAAAGCCTCTGGTATCTGTATACATTCACAGCAGATACAAAAGACCAGGGTTTAGGTTTCACACACACATGATACAAATACTGCAGCAAAGAGTTAGAGAATTGCTTTATGGTTATTCCTACTAGGATTTCTGAATCCTCTATTTTGGAGAGGAGTTAAAAAGCAGAGATGTAAGGAATTAATTTTAAAATGTTATAGCTAGATCATCTTCCCCCCCCACCCCACCCCCCTCAAGGCCTCTGCCATAAGAAGCCTACTCTGCATCTTCTGATGATGGACATTATTGTTATTAATAATGAATCAAAAATGGTATGACTTGAAGCAAGCTAGATTTCTCATGCTTTTGTTATGACTTGCTGTAGAGAGCTTCAAAGCTGCGTGTGCTGCTGTCAGCAAAGAAATTTTGCCGTTGCTGTCTGTCTGTGTCTTGTGATGATTTGAAGCTTTGTGAGGACCTGGGCGTAGTGCAGCCCTTGGTTCTGTCCCCACCACAGGGAACACCTTCAAGGGAAATCAGACCCCTCTGCAGTGGGAGCTGCATGCTTGTCATGAAAGCTCTTCTGCCCACTTGCTGATAGAAAGCAGCATTAACACAGGCTTTCTCCTTTCCCTTTCATCACCTGGACTGTATTTTTGGTCCTGCCCTTGTGTTGTTCTGTGTGATTCACTTCTCCATAAATACATGCTTTGTATTGACATGTCTCATTTTCTCTCATTGTGGTGCCTGTCCTTCAGGTGATCGATAGTTCTGTATTAATTTAACAGGCCAAGTTCTTGTCAGACTTGTTAAACAAATGGACCTCCCTTGTTCTGTGCTAAAACATTCCTCATTTTTTCTTTTGAGTGACTGTCCCAAAGACTGAAATCCAAGAGCAGAACATGTGCACGTCGGTGGTCTTCCCTGTATTACACTGTCCCTGGTAGCTCGGGATTTATCTGGCTGAATGCTTGTGCTGACCTCAATTCAGTTATCTAAAAGGATGGTTTTCGGGCTGTCTGCTGGAATTGATGAGCCAAGAAATATGTCTAAATGAATTGGCACCATCTGGGCAGCCTGGCATGGAGCAGAGAGAGGTGGTAACAAGCTGCCATCAATTGGAGGAAGTCTCATGTCATTAAAACGACTGAGCAGTTAGCTTTCATTGGTATTCCTTGCTTCACTGCTGACTCGGGCAAGCCTCAAGTCTCTCTGCTCCTGCAAGAGCCTCCATGTTACACTAAAATATAACAGACAGGTGGTGGCTTCAGGGTGGTATGCCTGTCCTGGGGCACAGGCAGACGCGCTGCTCTGGTTGCTGCAGGTCCAGGTTGAGGTCACTACCCAAAATGTGTCCCAGCTGGTGAAGAGCAAAGCCCGCTGGCACAACTGCATATGTAGCTGCTTCCTGGCCCGCTTCTGTGACAGCCATGTGGTTTAGCTGCCTTCCTATTACACTTGCTTTTCCCTCCCCTTTTTATACAATATTGTTGTGTTAGAGCTGGAGAGGGGAGAGGCGTCAGGTCGGTTGTGCTGGCAAATTAGAAAGGACAGAAGCTTCTGACACGAGCAGGGCAGCAAATTCATGTAGCGCTTCTGAAGTCAGGGAAATTCTACTCTGGCTCAGGATCTGGCCACTTTCAGCAGTAGCCAAGAATGAGGGTCTGTGTCACTTGATAATGTTATTCAAAATGCAAATTAATATGAAAACTCAGTGGAAACATTAATTGCTCTTAAAACGTTGAAACTGTCCCCAAATAGCAAGATACTGACTCCTCAGCTTCCCATCTGTGCTTTTTGCAGTCTTTAGAATGAAGTTCCCATTTGTTGTGGAGGCTGGGAGAGGGAAGGAATGAAAAAAAAAAAACCCAAACCCCACAGAAGTGAGCAGATGTGTTACACACGCCGTAACAGAGTGTTGCAGGTGGGGCCACCTGAGCTCTGTGCCGTGGGGCAGAAGGGACCCCCTGCTGCCATGCAGGGAGTGCAGCGGGGCAGCCTCCACCTTGGTGCCCCAGGTCTGGTACTCTGGCCAACCTGATGTGCTCTCTGTAGGTGCTCCTTGATGTACCCTGGGGTTTGGCTTTGTGCTAGCTTTTGTCAGAGGGGTAATTTGGGGGATTTCCTAGCACCTGTTAGAGCTCATTAGGGTAGAGGGGGAAATTTGAGAAGGCAGAGGAGCTGCCTCATTATTCTTTATAAATCCTCTTTTTCCTTCAGCTTTCCTTGCAATCCCAAACTTCCCCATCAGCAGAAAAATCTGACCAAGGTTGACTTGCTCCCCTTGCTGCCTTTTTCCTGTAGTAGAAAAGCTCCTGCGGGACAAAGGCAGTAGCTCCTGTGTCCTGTAGGCAGGTGGGACGCAGATCTTGGGGCTGGAGCAGCTGCTGGGAAGAAATCTGTCCTGCAAGATGGACGTGAGCTCTCTTAGCTGACTTCTGCCATTTGCAGTGTGTGCCCCAAAGAAGTACCTGACATGGGTAGAGCAGATCCTGCGTGGTTGAGGTGGGGGTCTAGTGGACAAGTCATGGCACGAAGAGAGGGTAGTAGGTTTCTGCTAGGCTGTGTGACAGAAGGTCTCAGTCTAGCAGAGACCAAACCCTACATTTGAGTGCCTCTGTTTGTTGACAAGCTTGTGAATAGAGTTTGGTTTTTTTTCCTTTCTTTTTTTTTTTTTTCCTTTCCCTCTCCCTTGAGTGGTTTACCCATCTTCAGTTATGAAACATATTGCTTGGCAATTCCAATTTATTCATGGTGAGAAATGCTTCCTCCTTTGAACTTTCAAAGGCCGCCTACATAATGGGAACACAGTTTATGTTCCACGCACTCTAGGCAGAGAGGAGAGTAATACTTTCAGCCTCTTTTGATCCTTGGTGTGAAGGGAGGCAGCATGGTTAATTTTGAAACACAAAGAAGATCTCTTGAAAAGGGCCTGTGGGCTGCATCTGTAAAGCAAAATTTTTGCCTGTGGACTGTCAATGTATGAGCTTATATATCTCTGGAACTATTCTAGAAAAAAACCCATCTGAAGTAGTGGCCATTGGGTCTGTGTAGCTTTAGAAACAGCAGCATAAAATCAGCCTTCTCTTTTTCTTTCAATTATTTAATTCCCCTTTCTCTCCTGCTTCCCTTATGCTAACGACTACTTTCTGTCATGTCTCTATTAAAGTAGGGAATGCAAAATTGCAGGGCTGTTTGAGGGCTGCTTTATACAGAGCAGCGTGTGGTTTTAAAACCACAAGCTCAGCGAGCAGCAGCTGGCAGTAGAAGCCCGACTATGGCTCCGTAGCTGGAGCCTGGGTTTAGGATGTGATCAGTAAGGTGTGTGCTGATGGCTGTTACGGGTAGAGGCAGAAGCAGTTAACAAAGCTGGAGCTTAACCTCAGCCCCTTACCTATCCTTGTGTCTATCACCTCTAGATGAAAGAACAAAAGCTACTTTATTTGCTTCTCTAAAACTATTATAAAAACATAATAATAACTGTACCACAGATAAATTGAGGTGTATTCTTTCTGCTTGTTGCATAAACAGCAGCAGCCCAAGGCAGTACCAAAACATAATCTTGTTTTGTGGGAGACAAAACAAGAAGCAGTGGATCGGCTCCTTTGGGTACCTGTTGTTGCAATGAAGCCTTGATCTTTCAGTGAGTGCTCTTTGAGCAGAGAAAATTGTAAAAGTCTGGCTCTTCTAGGGGAAGCTTCTCCATGAGAAGTCCTGCAGTGACTGTGGACTCTACTTGGTTTACTTTGAGCTTTTGAGAGCAAGAAAGCATACTTCTTTATGTATGTGTAAGGAGATGGTTTTATAATTTTCCCTAAATTTGTAACGCTTCAAGAATTTCCTGTTGTGGTATGTGTGTCACTTAGAGTGGGAGTGGTGAAGAGTTGGAAAAAAATCCCTCACAACATCCGAGTACATGGTGGGGCAAGAAAGGGCAGAGCCTCAGTCTTCCTTGTTAGGATCAGGACAAAAGTCTGAGTTTCACCTGAATTGCAGATGAGTTGCAGACAATTTTGTGGTTGGCGTTTTGCGGTCTGTCCTGCCAAACACCTTCCGTTTCCTGTGAATAATGAGACTAGAGAGGGAGAAAAGCCAGTATTTGGGAAGCGCAGTTATGAAAGACAGCAAAGGGAGATGGAGTCGGCATCATGCAGCAGAATGTAAAAAAGACAAAATGGGGAAATAAAGAAAAGCCTGAACATACTCATTATTGTGTATAATTTGCGGTTGTTAATAACGGCATTGTAACAGGTACATGATCTCATCTGACCCTGCTGTTTTTCCCTTTTTAGCATGTGGTTGACTTTTGTGAACCTGGTAAATTGATATTTTCTGTGTCAAAAGTATTTGCTTATCCTCTTCCTAGAAACCAGTACTTACCGCACCCCTCTTTATGGGCAGCCCTCCTGGTGGGGGGAAGATGATGCAAATAACAAGGAGGACACAAGGCAAGAGGAACATTACTCAGGTAATAGAGGTGATTTGGGGTGGGAGAAAACGGGGGGGACAAAATTTCTGCACACTTTTGATCTTTGTTGTGTGAAGCCATCCTGCTTTATTTACCACTTTTTCTGTGCTCGTACTTGCACGTTCCTATGTGTAGATTGCTGCTGCTGAAACTAGAATAAGGGAAAATTAAAATGTTTTGCCTAAAATATTTGAACATTAGGAACAGCAGTTGTGGAATAATTCAGTATGGATGAGAAAGGCCTCACTAAGCTTGTTTGAGACCTAGTTAAACAGCAGTGCTATATCTGTGATTGTGTGTAGCCCACCTGAATAAACCATCCACTGTGTCTCCCAGGAGCTTCCTAACTAAGAGGCACTTTAAGAGATGATGCATTGACTGAATTTGATTGATGTGGAAGCAATCTGTTTCTCACCTCATCATCCTTGGAAGCCATTTAGTCTTACCACTCCTGTTGTTATGAATCTGTATGCATGGAAGACGCATCTTTTTTCACTTGTACAGTAACCCTGATGTTTCTATCAAGCATATGCTTTACTACACGAAGAAGTTTTTTATTTCAATGCATGTGCGGTATATCTCTTCTCCAGCAGAGAGAGGTTGTGAATCGCAGCCCTCCTAAGAGGTTGAATTAAACTAAGTGACCTTCTAGCCAAGAAGGTTGGGTACTACTGAAAAAATGTGGGTTTATCCCCAGTGATGTTACAGAATTAGCTGTTGATCCAGCAAAAACATACCTGTGATTAGCTTTGCACGCTCAAGCTTTTCCTTTGAACTGTAGAAAGTTGCGTAGGTGTGCACGTAAGTGAATTCAGCAAAGTGAAACAGGACATCTTCCTTCCACATCAGCCCACGCATACAGAAGTGTTGAAATACCACCAAACGCATAGGTTCTGCCAAAACATACAATGGTGCATGTGTGTCTGCTCAGTTCTCTCTTTGGGGAGCAATGGAAGAAAGGGCAAAGTAAATATAACGAATGTTAGTCAGACCACAGCAGTGCAGTAAGCACCGATTTCATTGATGAGGCCAGAGTACAAAGCTATCTAAAACAAAACTTGTATTTTTTCTTTAATTAATTTCAGCTAATGTTTGTGAATTTAAGGTTTTCTTGCTTTTCCCCCCCCCCTCCCTTTTGTAGAAAGATCAAAAGAGATAACCCAACATGAAGAGGAACTGAATGGTAATATTTCTGCTTATAGAGATGCCCAAGAACAGTCTGTGTTTGCCTTCCGGAGAGAGCCAAGTTACTTTGAGATTCCAACTAAAGAATTTCAGCAGCCATCAAAATCTCCAGAAACACAGGTCCATGAGATCCCGACAAAGGATGTTGATGCTGTAGTAGCCCCTGTTGTACAGAGTCATGCCTCCTTCACCATTGAATTTGATGATGGTACCCCTGGTAAAATAAAGATAAAAGACCATGTAACTAAATTTTCGCTCAGACAGAGAAGACCATATAGTAAGGAGCCAGCTCATACAGAAGTGATGTCAGCGGAGAGCAAAGTGGCTGACTGGCTTGTCCAGAATGACCCAAGCTTGATGAGACGACAGTCACCGGGAGACGATGTGTACAGTACAAAGAGTGACCTGCCGGTTCATGTGAGGACTCTTAAAGGTGAGTGAATGTCTTGTCTTGTGGACATAGTTTCTCTGTTGGCCATGCAAATGCAGCATAATAAAGGGAGAAAACCCTTCTCCTGTCAAGGAGAACTGGACTTAATTATCTCTGCTCCATATTTGCAAGATGAAGAATATTTCTTTAATGACTGTTAATGGTTTTGAATTTGGCTAGCAGGCTCTTCACCTGGCCCTGGAGTCATGTGTGATGCTGGCCTGGGGAACACTCTAATCTGGTTCCTCTACATCTATAATGCCAGCTCAGCAGTAACTGTGATTGAAAAAAGGATTTTGATTTTTAAATGTCTAAAATAATTTCCATGTGGTCAGGCAGGCTGGTAAACAGATATTTCAGTAGATTTTCTTCTCTTGGCTTCTCCTAGCTGAAGGCATGACTTTTTATTTTAGCTGTAGTCCAGAAGAGGCTAAGGGTGATCATCCTGATAGCTGTAATGACCGGAGGTCCTAATATGGAAGCTGGTGATAGAGTTGAGATATGCATGATCACCAGTGGACGAAATTGTGCTTGTAGAAGGTTTCTTCTCTTAAACTAAAGCTTCTCTGAAATCCTGCTCTGTTCAAAAACTTCAGGTTTCATGGACCTGTGTCCTGTTAAGTGTGTCACTATGAGGAATTCTTTGGGGATTTTCAGAGGTCTGAAGTGTAGTTTGGAGCCCAGTTCTTAGTGCAGCTGGTGTGATTCACATGATTCTCATGCAACTTTGAATATATTTTGCAAGATTTGGGCTTGTGTGGATGTCTCTCTTGGACCATGCACTGAACAGCTAGGAGGAGACTAGAGATTCCTGCATTCTCACTGCCTCTCACTGCCTTGCAGGCCTCTGGAAAAGCTACTGTTTTGAACTGCAGCTTTAACTGAAGAAGTCATATTGAAGGTTACCAGACCTACTAGTGCTTGAGGTTCTTCTTAAGAGAGCAATACCTTGTTTTCCCTTAAAGGAGTATTTGCTTCCTCCTTATTGGAAAAAAACCTCCTCTCCAATATGAAGACCTCTTCTCCAATATGAAGAGTTTTACCCATTACACCTCCAACTTGCTGTTTGGTGTACAGTTTTTTAAGAAGCCCCTATGGTCAAAAAGGTCTCACATATCCAGCCCTGGAGTTCGACAAGGGATGGAGATTGAACTATTTTGTTGTCATGGCTTGTTTCTAGTCCTTCTCAATAAGGGACAGTGTTGAGGTGCCCCACTTTATTATTTAGGGTCTTATTTTCAGTCTACTGTGACTGTGTGATGGAGGGTTTTGGGGTTTAGGTTGGGTTTTTTTTGCTATTGTGATACTGGATTTTGTTGACTTGCTGGAGAACATTGTCGAGGATAGAAGTGTGCTTCAGTAGTTTTGCTCTTTCCTTATGGAGAAAACAAGAGAGTTAGGCAGCTGCTGCTCATCCTAGGATTTTCCTGAGTGATGCACAGGAATGCTAGACTGACTGCACTTGCCTCTTTACAGTCCATACGGCCCAGGAAAAAAACTGAGGTAATTTAATGCATAATTTGGATATCAAGAAATCAAGTCTTTGGACATTTGATTAAAACATACAGTGTTGGTGGCCTGAGGAGTTTATCCACCTCTGCTTTGGCAGACGACAGGGTGTCATTTATCTGCGATAGCTGTGTAACGTGTTCTTCTGGCAGAGCTAATTCTGAAGATGTCTTGGAGGCTACTGCTGGCTGCCTACCAGGTTTGGGTCTTCAGGATCAGAGACACCCACCGTCAGGATTCATTAGTAGCATTTGTTCACTTTCAGGAACAATGTGGTGAATGTAAGGCCTGATATCAAGACTAGAGAGTTCAGGTCTTAGCAGCTTGAGGGGATGTGCATGGGGCATTCATGGGCACGGTGGGTGTTTTTCCTTGTGTCCTCACCATTTTGCATTCAGTAGAGTTCTTAGCCAAGACCCTTTAATTTAAGAACTTTCCCTTCCAAGGACAAAGCTTATCAGCCCTCAGGGTACAATGCAAAGTGTGCTGGCTTCCTTCATGAGGGTGTTAGGAAACTCTTCAGAGGACTGACTCCTGGGTTGAATGGGTCTTGTATTAAATTCTAATCTTTCACAGCTAACTCAAGGTAATAAATGGTCTTCACCCATGTGTCTGGAGAACTTGCAAAGTAGGTTTGAGCAGTTTTCCTTTCAAACACGTGGTATTTTAGCCAGTATATCTTGCTGAATATTACAGTCTAGAGCGCAGAGACCTCTTTCCCCGTTCTCCCGATGACAGGTTCCTGGTCGTTGACTGAATCGTGTTGTGTGCCTTCACACCCGTTTTCTTCTCCAAAAAAAGGTTTGTTTTTTTGTTTTACTCTTAACTTTTTGTTTAACTTAATTTCTGAGAGTCCTGAACTAAGGCACTGGGGGGCAGAGCATCACTGATACAAAGAGAAGGTTGTAAAGATGGTTGTTGCTAACATAAGTGAAAATAGTTGTGGACTTACTTAAGCTTAGTGAACTCTTAGTAGTGATTTAACCTTTGCTTGGCTGGTGATAGGATGGTGTAATCCATGGGGGTGTCATGGTGCGATTCTTAAATCTTTAGGAAAAGTAAAGAATCCTACAAATTCACTTTCATGTTAGCCTCTGGTTTATTTCCCCTTGTAGTGGTGGTGACATGGGTGCTCAGGGATGCATGCACTTGTAATGCACTGATCTGGTCTTTCATCATGAGGATTTGGTTTCATGGGATGCAGTGTGTGGGGTTTATTTACTGATCCTGCAGAGATACTTCCCCTCTGTAACAGAGGGAATTTAATGAGGTAATCTTGGACTACAGTAATTGGGCAGAACGGCAAAATAATGCCGTCTTTTTTATTTAAATGGAAAAAAAAAAGAAAGAAACAAAATGTAAGGTATCTAAACCAATCAGCTTTACAAAATCAGAAACCCTTGGGGTTACAATGATTTCTTGAATTGTTTTTTTAAAAACTTAATAGCCAACTAGTTGTGAAAAGTGGCGTCAGGAGACAGTTGCCTTCTCTTTTATATCCTCTGATGGGATGCCGTCCCTGTACCACAGCAGATGTCTTTGGAGTTGTTTAATCCTGTAGGATTTTTTTTCTTTTAACTGAAATGAGAAATTTCAACTGGGAGGTAATGACAGGGCCACAGTAAATAAGAATACGAAAATCAAATCTACATACCTTGTTTCCAGGCAATAGGCACGAGGACGGGACGCAGAGTGACTCTGAAGACCCTGTGGCACCTAAGGCAGAGAAGGAGACAACAACAGGCAGTGAACGCGCAACGGAGCAAACCAGGCTGCAGCGCCAGATGAGGCGCGAACCCCACGAGATGCTGCACAACAAGCAGGCCTTCGTTATTGAGTTCTTCGAGGACACGCCACGGAAGAAGCGGTCACAGTCCTTCACGCACAGCGCTCACTCCTCCCAGAGCGACACCGATCCGGGGCCGAAGACCAAGGTTGAAAAGCGCAAGAACACGTTGCCAGCAGAGAAGCTGGGAAACGCGGTACCACCATCCCACCTTGGGGCCCAGGCAGGCAAACCCAGTAACAGCTCCTCTGGGACCCAAAGAACTAGCTCCTTCAAGAGGGAGAAGACGGAGGATCGGATCAGCTCTTCGTCCTCCTCTGCTTCCAGAGCATCAGCCAAAACTTATGGGAGTGTTGGAAGGAAGTCTAAAATGGCTCAGGATTTTATGGCCGAGTACTTGCGGGAAACTGCTCAGTCTGGGAAGCCAAGCGCTGAGAAACCGGCACCTCTGCCCATGCCGGTAGCCCCACGTGTGGTTATATTGTCAGAACCAGAATCTGCCTCTGCTCCACCTCCGGAAGTAAAGTCTGCCCAGGGCAGAAGGAATGATGAGGAAGACAGTGTGAGCGAGACGGGCACATACACCATTGAGACAGAGTCGCAGGATAAAGAGGTGGAGGAAGCGCGAAAAATGATAGATCAGGTAAATGCTGCTTTTCTATGCTTGGCCAGTGAGCTGAGGGCTGAAGGCTTGGGCTTCCGCACTTTGTGCTGGAGGGCCTAACTTCATTAGCTGCTGCCATGAAAGACTGCTCCCTTTTGAATTGGGTGCAGCGGGGTTTATGGATTGGGGTGGGAAATCATCCTGGGTGACCTGTGTTAAGGATAGGCCCCAACAAACTGAGAGACTAGTCTTTAAAAAAACCCCTAAACCCAACAAAGTTACAAACAAACAAAAAATGGAGTGCAAGAAGGCAAGGTAAGCCCACAGCAAAGAGCTGCCTTGCTTCCAAAATGGAATTTGGAGGCAAAAGTGCCAGAGTGGGCTTGCCATCTGGGCAACAGCAGGGGAAAGGCAACAGCAGAATAAAGATCAGGCTGATCCTGCTGAGAGCCATAGCTGGGAGCAGCTCTGCTCTCTAGGACTGCTTCCAAGCCTCTGCCTCAGCACCGTGTCACCTCCTGCCCGCTGTTACTATGAGAATGGGAGCTGCAGCCCATCACAGATGCAGCATCCCGTGGTAGGCCAAGGGGAGTGCAGGCCAGGGGCTGCTGCTCTTGATCCATCACAAGCCTTAGTGGTGGGCGGTTCTGTATTTGGCTGTGCCTGGTTAGAAAGGGAGTGCTTGTTGGCAGAGCAAGTGGCAGCTAGTTGAGATAGTGAAGGGTGTGGTCTAGGGCAGAGGCAATCCTAGATGGATCTATACTTGTTTGGATTTTGCAAAGTGAATGATAGCCTAAAAACAAAACCCCAGAGATGAGGGAGAGGCTTAAAAAAAACCCCACCCAACTAAGGAGCTGCAGGGCAAACCAAAGTTTGGCTGATTTTCAGGTTTAACTTTCATCTGCGGTCTATTATGAAAACAAAACTGGCAAGTTGCTATGAAGATTTAGTGAAGTGTAGGCAGGAGGATGGTGAGGTTTAAAGGAAGCCTTAATTGAACCTTTCTTTAGAGTTTTGTATGCAGTGTTCTGTGAGCCTGGATCTAGCTTCCCTCTTCTATTTATTACACTTGTTCTTACATCTTGTTTGAAATGTGATCAGAAGCTTTCAGGGCAGGGTGTTTAAGCCACAACAAGGCCCTAGTCCGGACATTAGATGGTTAATTGTTCTGGTGAGGAAATATGAGGAAAAATGCCACAAAAATACAACTTATTTCTGGGAAGTAGTCTTAGCAGCTGTGTGACTTGGGCAGGCAAGCTGGCCAAGTTCTGCTCCTGACGCTGCTGTAGACTTGGTGCAGTGCAGACCTGCCACTTGGGAAACAACTAATAACTGGATCTCAGTGTTTCTGTCCAGGAAGAAAGATGATAGGAATTTTGGACTTGCTGAGGTTTTGAGGTGACTCTGCTTTTTGTTCCCCCACCATCGAGGGCACACTTTTTTTTAACAGAGGTGAGAGTGGAGAACTTTATGCGCAGCCTAGGTACCATCCATGGTGACATCTTCCTCTGAACTACTTGTAGTCAGGGAAGAGAAACAAGCCCTTCAGAGGCATGGATCCTTGTCACCTCCCTGCAAAAACCTGTTTATCTCCAGAGGGAATCTGGCCAGCTCGCCCAAACACTCACCCATCTCTGAGGTGCATCCTTTCTCAGGTCCTCACATGGTAGAGCAAGGCAGCTTTGCTCAGCCCACTCATTGCTACAGTCTATGAAAGATGGAGCTTTCCCAGCTTTTTCTAATTCTCTGTGAATTAGCTGGTAAATATCTTTCCTGACACTCATCCTAAATTTCTCAGGGCTGAAAAGGGACTCCTTCTCAGTGGAAGTTACTACTGTTAAAGGCAACACACTGAAATAATGAGGGTGAGAGAAAAGGTGGGTGTGAGTGGGATTCTATGAGTAAGTGTATTTGAAGCTGCTACTGTGGAGTACAGAAAAAGATGATTTAGTTTGTATGGAAGCGATGGCAAGTGTTTCTGGCCCTTTTGGGATCATAGTTTGTGTGTGACTAATGCTTCATGGATTTGGATTTTGGGCTGATACTTTCCTGTTTTCCTGGTTTTTAATCTTTCCCATGCAAACACCTTTCCAGGTTTTTGGTGTTCTTGAGTCGCCTGAATTTTCCAGAATCTCTTCAGCATTTAGACCAATAATTAAAGGTGAAAAGGACGACTCTGGTTCTAATCAGCATCTAATCAGTGAAAATGGCACTAGTCAGAAGTCACCCTTGCTCCAGGCATTTGCCTCAAAAGCTGTGAGTGGGTCTCAGGCTGATGCACAGGTATGAGCAGTCCAGGTGGATTTGCTGGGATGGTGGAGGTGTAGATGGGTTTTCTGTCTGGATGGAAATGTCATGCGTAGATTGATTTCCATTTTGAGGAGACTGAGTGATATGTGTATGAGAGGAGACGTTTTGTGGCTAGGATTTGCTTTACAAGCTGTCTTTCTGAAACTGCCTTCCCCACCTTGTTGTAGGTGTCTGCGGCATCTCAAGGGAGTCAGAAGTGGGTGTCTAGGTGGGCAAGCCTTGCGGACAGTTACTCTGACTCTGGGCAGGGTGATGGAGCTGCAGGTAAGTCTCATTCTGACATTACTTTTTGAAAGTGTCTGAATCTAAGCCAGGATGATATGAAAAACAGGAATTGAGCGGTTCTGTGTGTCTGGCTGTGGCTTATTTTCTGGTTTAGCTAATGTGTTTGGGGATGGGAAGGACAGAGTGAATCTACTCCCAGTGGAGTAAAGATGGAGAGAGCTTCTGGTTTGCATTTCAGAGTCATCCAAGAAGTTCTTAAATGTTACATTTGACATGACTAAAGGGCACCTGGGAAGGAGAAAGATCATAAGGGCCTTGGGTGTTAACTTGCCCCGAGTAGTGATTCTTTAGACTGCCTTATGATGCCAGATTAAAGCCCTCTGCAAGTTGCCTTGGACTTAATTGCTGACTTGGGCTTTTTTGTGTGCTTTTCCTGTGTCTGGCTGTGCTGAGAATTTTAGGCTGTTGTGGGGTTTGCTGTCAGGTGGCAGGTGTGAAGCGTGGAGATCAGTGTAGAAAACTGGGTATGGAGGGGAGAAGAGGAGTGGGAGGAGATCATGCTCCCATCGTAACTGGGAGGACAGCTTGCAGACCCCATGGTCCTGTATGTGAGAAAGGGAGAAGAGTGCTTTGTTGGCTTTTGTAAACATTTTCAACTTTTTTTGTTGGAAATATTTGTCGTTATCTTCATGCCATCAGCAGCTACAGACAGATTCACTAAAGATTACAAGAAACCTTTGTTTTGGAAGTCATTGCCACTGTTTTCACACTGTGTGAGAACCTGACTTCCGGAGCGTTTGAAATATTACCATAGTCAAATAACCAGTTATCCAGGTATTTAAAGGCGGTATCAGATATGAAGTCCTGGCCAGCAGCGTGGGTGAAATAAAAGCGCTCTTTCTATGAAGTGTGTCTGTACTGATAAGCCTACCCACACTGGAGCGGTGAGCTCTAATTCAGAGCCTCCTCATTGTTACAGGGTCTTTCTCCTGAGACTTTGCTGTGGGATATGATCATATGAGAACTTGTACTGTGAAAAACACCATCTATTTAGTCAAATGAGCTACGTTGTGTAGAATGGCACTTAAAACTCTGCATCTCTGCAGTGATTTGTCTGATTGCTTTTCATCTCCTTCCCATGGCCTGATTTATGGTAGATTGATGCCAGCAGCGCTGTTACCTTCTGAAGTATGTGCTTGTACTGAGAGGTATATTATGGGAGAATGAATCTGAAATCCTGCCTTGAGACAGGGAAGGTGTTGAGCACTCTGATGCAGCAAAGGAATGAAGTACAATTTTACTTACTTGAGTGTCTGTACTTACTTACTTAAGTGTCTGTACTGATAAACCTGAGGGACTGAGCAGGAGGCGGGGCCTATTGGTGTTCATATTACATAAAAGCTTAGTTCTAAGCGCGTATCTCGTGAGTGCTTTTGTGGACTTGCGCTTTGCAGGATCAAGCTCTTCCTAAATAAATAAGTGGTATAGTTGTACGACAGTTGATTCTTGTCCACTTAACTCTCTTCAGAAAGCAGTGTAGCCCCAAAACCTGGGGAACCAGAAAATGCTGTGCCCTTGAGAACAAGGCGTCTTCTTCCCCAACTCCCACCAAGTGATAAATCAGACAGCCCCACGCCCACAGTCCTGGTCTGCCAGGAGTCCTATTCTGAGGTTACTAAGAGAACCATCGTGAAGGACCACTGCGTGGAAGCCTATAGCGATCCCAGCAGCCGCCTCTTCATCCAAGAGGACTTGGATCCAGATAGCCTTAGCGATGCCAGCAGATCTGATGATGGCTTCAGCACGGAAAAAGGCAAGAAATATAAAGAGAACAATAAAATGCTAGAGCAGATGGGGGAAGAAACAAAATCAGAGAGCCGACAGCCAGGAGCCTCCCGGGTCTCAAACGTGAGAGCTGTTAGTGAGCCAGTTTCTACTTCGTTCTACATTGGTGATGACAGCAACGATGCGGGGATTCCCTCAAAGCTCTCTCTGAGCGTGTCCCATGCTCGAGCAGACAAAGACAGCAAGGATCAGGAGTTTACCTTCAAGTCTGCTGGCACACCAGTTCCGGGAAAGCCACCGGTCAAAGATGTTAGCGCTTACATTAATGCATCAGGAAAAGTGGTTATTTCCCTTCACCAGAGTCTTCCTCAAGATCAGGAAAACATGCCAGGAAAGGAAACATCATCTTTTGTTAGACAGGAAAGTTTTACCAAAGATAAATCAAGCGGTGGTGTTCCTCAAAAGAAACTCCCACATATTTCAAGTCACCCTCTGCTTAAAGATTTAGAGGCTGTTCGGTCAACCCGTATGGACTTTGGTCAGGAGACTCATCTTCTCCTTAAGGACACTGAAACTGCTTTGGCAGCATTGGAAGCCAAATTACTTGGTCAAAACCAACAGCTGGAGCCCTCGGAAACTGCTGGTCAGCTGGAGGACTCCTTGTCGGGGGACTCTGACGTGGACACCGCTAGCACCGTCAGCTTAGTGAGTGGCAAGAACGTCCCAACGAGCGCCCCAAAACGCAAAGCAGTGACGAGCTTGCAGAAGGAGAAATCTTCCTCCACGCCATCCATCCAGGACCAGTGCGGGCAGCCCAGTGCTCGGGACAGGCTGACGGAGAAGCGGAAAACGCAGGCGCCAGAGGCATCAAACCGCGCGGAGGCTGCCAAACGCTTCCAGATGAAGCGGAGCGCTGGGGCTCGAGGGTCGCTTGACTTCACAGATGACGAGAGAAACTCGAGCCTGCCCTACTCGCCAGTCCCTGATGCAGTTGTGTCTGACCACGAGCACTCTGTAACACGGCCAGTTCCCAGAAGGAAACCTTTTACCCAGGCCACCAGGGAGGACCACAGCAAAACGACCTCAAATGTGCAGAAAATCCAGCAAGTTCTCACCCGCTCCAACAGTTTATCCACCCCACGGCCCACGAGGGCCTCAAAGCTACGTCGTGCCCGGCTGGGAGATGCTTCAGACAACGAATGTGTTGATGCGGACAAAACGGCCTCCAACCCTGAAGCCACTGCTCCAGGCCCTAAGCAGTCCACGGAGACAAAGAAGCTCTCCCGGCTGGACATCCTCGCCATGCCAAGGAAACGGGCAGGTTCATTTACAGTGCCCAGTGACTCTGAGACAGCGCAGTCGAGAACGGGGTTTTCGGGCCGGAGCGTGGAGACCTATCGGAAGACGGGCGTTTCCGAGGCGAGAAACCCCCCAGCCACTGCCTCCACGAAGCAGCCTTTTAGCAGGACTCGTTCAAGCAGTGTCAAGTATTCCTCTTCGTCCAGTAAGTGCTCGTGCTTTATGTTTCTCCCCTACTGCCCTCTTTCTGATTTATAGGCTGCACGTGGTTGCTAAGGATTGGTATCTCAGTAATGCGAGTGCTGCATTGGTGAGTACAAAAGTCTGCATTAATGAGCAGTACAGAGGTTGAGATTTCCTGTGGGTTTGAAGACAGCAAAGCATCTCTCATCCCCAGAGAGATATTATTGTGG